GATTGTTGTGGGCAAGAGGCTGACTCTGTAAACCGCTTAGAGGGGACTGTAAAGCAGTGTAAAGCACTGTAAAGTGGGATATGTATAAGGACCATTGATATTCCCCTTCCTTCCTTTCCTTCCTTCCTTCCTTCCTTTCCTTCCTTCCTTCTTTCCTAACTCTGCCCACTGCCAGGAATTCAATCCTCACTGGCTCAAGGTTGACTGAGCCTATCATCCTTCTAAGGTGGGTAAAATGAGGACCCAGATTGTTGGGGGCAAGAGGCTGACTCTGTAAACCATTTGACTGTAAAGTACAGTGAAGTCTAAGTACTATTGCTATTGTCCTTCCTTCCTTCTTTCCTTCATAACTCTCCCCGCTGGCAGGAGTTCAATCCTGACTAGCTCAAGATTGACTCAGCCTTCCCCCCTTCTGAAGTGGGTAAAATGAAGACCAAATTTGTTGGGGGCAAAAGACCGACTCTGTAAAACTGCTGAGAGGACTGTAAAGCACTGTGAAGCGGTCTATAAGTCTAAGCACTATTGCTAATAAGGTCTCCAAAGCAGGAGATAAGAACGCTCCAAGGACAGTGCAGGAGAGACTCTATTGCAACCCATCCAGACATCAGCTTCCCTCAGCACCAGGCAGGATTGGTGGGGCTGAAGTGAATGCAATTTGGCAATAGCCTGAACCGCCACTTCCTGTCTCCAGATCTGTGGCAGAGCCAAGTCTTCCCCAGAGGAAGGGAGGAGAGCTGAGACGGAGAGGACTCCAACCACAGGGGAAGGGCTGGCCCAGCCTCACCTCTTGTTCCGAGAGCCCGTCTATGATCTCCGACACCTCATGTTCGCTGCGCGCTGCCGACATGGAGAATCCACTGCCTCGTTGTCCTCCCCTGCTGAGAAACGACAGAGAGAAATGCTGAAACGGGGACCTTCTCCTTCTTCTCGCTGGTCATGGCCGCCAAATGACAACCTCGGAGGCCAAAAAAGAGGAAGAGATATCAGTGCTGGGAAAGGCAGAGGGTGTGGGGGAAGAGTAGACCAGAAGGAGGGTGTGTGGGAGCAGGCCCTAACACAGGGGTGTCCAAACTTGGGGACTTTTAAGACTTGTGGACTTCAACTCCCAGAATTCCCCAGCCAGCATAACTTTAAGACTTGTGGACTTCAATTCCCAGAATTCTCCAGCCAGCATAACTTTAAGACTTGTGGACTTCAATTCCCAGAATTCTCCAGCCAGCATATCTTTAAGACTTGTGGNAAGTGCTCTTACCATTTTCTTCCCTATTTCAATCTGATTTTTGTGGTGCTGTTTTTGATAGGTTGGACTGTTTTATCCCTTTGTGTAAAGACAGATGCAAAAAAAAAAATGAGTTAAATAGTTCTGCTTTCTCCCTGTTGCTTGTCACCTTCTTGCCACTTTCTCCCAGCAATGGACCAATTGTTTCCTTAACCTTTTTCTTGTTTTTAACATGTTGGAAGAAGCTTTTTTTGTTATTTTTTACTTTTGTGGCAAGCTTTTCTTCATTGTGAGCCTTAGCTTTCCTTATTTCATCTTTACAGGCTCGGGCTATTTGCTGATATTCTGCTTTAGTTATGTTCCCCTCTTTCCACTTTTTATACTTAACTTTTTTGTCTTTCAATTTAAACTTTTTGTCTTTCAATTTCATTTCATTCAATTACATTCAAACGCTTATGATTCATATATCATTGCTTTAAATTAATCAAAAGATATCCCTGTATTGACAAATATATATTATTTATATACAGTATTTAGGGAGAACGTATTCAATGTATTGTATATATTTTTATTTCTACACAAAAAGTTATTGGTGTTTTTGTCTTTCAGTGTTTACAGGTTGTTTACAGTGCTCATGTTTACAATATTTTAAATTTAAAAATCTGAAATTATAATACATAGACAAATAGTAAACATAAAGCTTTATGAAAGATTTCAGATATTTACTAGACATTTTCCAATTCCAACAGTAATCAATTAAAAAAATATTCAACTAAATTTGGGTGGAGGGTCCAGTAGCAGAGCAGAATGTGGGAATTCCCTTGATTTTTCGGACTTTATATAAGGAGTATATAAGAAGGAACAGAATTACTGTATTCCGAAGTGATGACTTCCTCCAAAAAATGTGCATATAAAGAGGAATGATTCTTATGCTTGTGTATTTAACCTGTATCTTCATTGGAACCGCAGTTACTCTTAAGTAAACATTGATATCTGGGCCCTATATGAATATGTCGATGCATTTTCCTTAGTGACAACATGACTCACTTATGTCATTTCTAGGATTATTTTATTTCAGCTCCTGCTAGCAATAGCAATAAGACTTAAATACTGCTTTTCAGTGCTTTACAGCCCTCTCTAACGGTTTATAAAGATAGATAGATAAATACAGGCAGTCCTTGCTTAACAACCATTTGTTCAGCAGCTGCTCAAAGTTACGGCAGCACTGAATGAATTGTACTGATGCCCAGTTTCTGAAGTTACGATCATTGAAGCATCCCTGTGGTCATAGTTGACCACTTGGCAGCTTACCCACTCTAATGACTGCAGAGACACTTTAAATCCCCTCACCTGCCTATCTCTGAAGTAAAGGCCTGGGAATTTCATCAGTTTCACCTAGCTGCCACTTGCCCCTGGACCTCTACTTCAGTCCCAGTGCTGCCACAGCCAAGGAGTGCCACCTCAAGCCCCACCCTGTGGCCAGTCATCCCAGTGCCAAAACCCAGCCACCCTATGGCCTGCATGTGAGTTGAAGATCAGCAGGCACAATCTTTTCATGACTGTTGGAAGGTCTTATAAGTTTTCTGAAAGCTTTACAAAGCATTGTGAGAATGGTGTGAGTGGCATTGGGTAGAAGGTCTAGCATAGCCAGTAGCTGCCTTGCACAGGGTCAGGTGTGACTTGTCAATACCAGCAGCAACATGGTGACAGTCAGGTGGGTGTGATAGGGCCAGGGATTGCAAGGAAGTGGGGACAGTTGAGGCCTTCTGTTGTGGTGCCTGGGCATGGCATGGGGCTTGAGGTGGCACTCATTGTCAATTCCGGAGGTCCTGAGGCAGGAGTAGAGGACCAGTGGTTGTAGTGGTGGTTAAGCTGCTAAAGACTCTCGACCTCTTCTTTGGCCTCAGCACCAAGTTATGCTAATGTGCAGAGAAGCCAAAAGGGCTGAGATGGGAATGGGAGATATGTGAGTGGGAGGAGAGAAAGAAGAGGCAGTCCCTTACCTCACTGAGGCTCAGGCTGAAAAGGATCAAGCCAGGAATGGCTTGGATCAAGATGGGTCTTTGCCTAATGACCAATGGGACATGATAATGACGGCAACAAAGACTGTCAGTATTGCTGTCACTAAGTGATGCAGGTATATGATATCACGCTTTAAAATCACATCGCTCAGCAACAGAAATTCTGGTCCCAATTACCATCATAATTTAAGGACTATCTGTCCTCAACAAGCCTATCTTCTAGCAACATAAATATAGCTCCTCTTTAGGATCTATACATTGAAGAGAAAGGTAGGGGCTTTAACTGTGTGTTCCCTTTCTCTTGAACTCTCCATCAATTTGCACAATGCCAGGAAAGGGCTTTAGGTCTAGAAAGCAATGAGATACTAGAAAGTAATGAGATATTATTGTATTATTGTACAATGTTATTGTATGGTTACATTATTCAGTTCCCCTCAGTAGCCTAGTCATGTATTTGTACTAACTGAAGTTTAATTTATAGTAAACTAAATAAGATGACACTAAGACTTAACTGCAGAACTTTAGCTTGTCAAATGATTGAATGACTCCTAGCTTCATCAAATGACTGAAGGATTCAAGAAGTCCAGGAAAATCAACATGATCACACCTCCTCTGTCTTTCATACAACAAAAATTATTCCAGAGGGCAACCAAGATTGAATCCCTAAAACAAACACTAGATCAAAAACAAAAGTTTAATTTAGAGTATCTGAAAGTAATGAACCACTGTTTGACTGAAGCATCTTCCGCTTCTGTTAATAGCGTTGAGAAAGGTTTGATTTGGTGATTCAATCTAAAGGTGATTTTATTAATCTCCAAATCAGATTAATCATCAAACTAAATTCGCTACTTTCAAATCTATTTAATAGTTTTTGCATGCTAAAGAGTTTTTTTTTCTTTAAATAGAAGGAATGTTTTGTATAAGACTGAAACTGATTTATAAATCCCTGATAACTAACTTTTTTGTGAAACTACAACCACAGGCAGCACAATCTGCTAAATACACTTAAAAAGTATAGCAACGTCATACTTCAATCTTGGGGCCAAAAGAAACTGCTGACAACATAAATAGCATTAAAAAAAAAAGTATGATATACCCGAGTCGGAAAAATAGGAAAATGGAGCATAGTAGCACATTCATAAATAATATTATAATGTTACCTACCTCAGCTAAATCTTCAAAACAGCTTCCTACTAATGGATGGGGACTGCCTTCATCAGTCATTTCTACTGTATCTTCAATATGACCTAGCAACTTCACACTAAGTTCATGAATGTCTGATACTCGGCTGAATATATTTTCTACATCCTGCAAAACAAATATTTTGATATATACTGAAATAGGAATTGAGATATTTAAATACTAAATTTGTTGATTATGGGACATCCTACATAGGAAATAATGAAACAGTATTCTACACAATGGGCCTTGGATGTAAACTGTAAACAGTGATTTGGAAAGGAAGATTATAAACCTTTGTTACTAAATGTTATTGATGTTTAGTTAGAATAGACCATAAGGAATAGTGTTATTGGGATACTAGAAATAGCAAATGAGAGGCCACTATGTTTTCTTGAGTTTTGGTATGTTTTATGATGAAGGACGTTTAAACAATTATAGTCAAACGAAAATGGAGATAGGATGGTAATATGTACAAATATATTTGATTTAAAATACTAGAATATGAATCATGGGTGACTGTGAAAGAAATGCACGAAAACTTTTTGTAACCAACTGATACACTATTCCTACAGTATGTAAAAAAAGAGGATTTTTTTATGTTGTGTCTGTTTTGAAAAATAAAAATAAAAAACTTTAAAAAACAAAAAAACAAAAAAGATTTTTGGCTTCTGCGCGCCTCATTTTTGGGCCCTACCCATTTTCGAGACTTTTTCAGCCCGTTTTTGAGGCTTTTTTGGGCCATTCCCCCCCCCAAAAAATGGGCCAAAAAAGCCTCAAAAACGGACCAAGAAAAGCCTCGAAAACATGCCAAAAAAGCCTCCAAAACGGGCTGAAAAAGTCTCGAAAATGGGTAGGGCCCAAAAATGAGGCGCGCAGAAGCCAAAAATCTTTTTTGTTTTTTTGTTTTTTAAAGTTTTTTATTTTTATTTTTCAAAACAGACACAACATAAAAAAATCCTCTTTTTTTAC